ATGTGGGGCCCCACACTTAGTGGCAGGAAGTGGGGATCGATCGATCCCCCTCCATACTGGGATCGATCGATCCCCTTTATATAGCGGGATCGTTCCCCTCTATCTATAAGGAGGGGGATCGATCCCCTCAATTGCGGGATCGATCGATCCCCGTATAGAAGGGGATCGATCCCCCTTGTAGACGGGGATTGATCCCTACTGTAGATGGGGATCGATCCCCACTACCCCCAATTAGTACCACCAGCAGCAGCACGTAAGATTTGGCTGCGATGGCAGTTGGGGGTCGATCCCCTCTGTATGGGGATCGATCCCCGTATAGAATGGGATCGATCCCCCCTCCCTTTCTTCTTCCCCTCTAGAGACATCAGCAGCAGTAGCTAAGATATTTGGCTGCGGTAGGATCGGGGATCGATCTCCGATCCCGTGGGATCGATCCCCCTCTAGAGGGGGTAGGAAGGGGGGCCCACCCCTTATCATAATCAAGAGCAAAGGGCTCCTTCCTTCCCCCTAAATGGGTTAGGGGGCCCTGTTGCTTGTGGGGCTGCCACGTTGCTACTGCTGCTGTAGCTGCAGCAGCAGCTGCAGCAGCAGCAGCTGCTGCTGCATGCAGTAGTTCCTTTTATGGAGAGTAGAGGGGAGCTGCTGTTGTTTAATTGTTACCGACAGAAGCAGCCCAGTGCGGTTGCAAGTCGCTCGAACCGAAACTTGGGGCTTTATTATTAGTCTTATATATTCTCCTTGCACGCATGCATGCATGCCTATACATATGCTATACTCTTGCATGCATGCATGCATGCATTCATATACATACGCTCTATTATTAGTCTCCTTATTTATCTTCTTGCATGCATGAATGCGCCTGCATGCTGAAGCTAAGGTCTTCCTTAGTGCTTATGCTGTTGCATGCATGCAGATGCATGCATGCATGCAGATGCATGCATGCATGCAGATGCATGCATGCATGCATTAGTGCCTCTATCTAGATATATTAAAAGAAGAGTGACTTATTAAACGATAGATGAGCAGCAGCAATGCTGCTGCAGCAATAAACGGTGTCTTTGTCTTGTGTTGGGGTGTCTGCGCACATATATATTGGCAGCAGAAGACAAGATGCTGCATGCGCTGCATGCAGCGCAGCAGCAGCATCTTGTCTTCTTGCTGCATGCAGCGCATGCATGCAGCAAGGGGTAAGTAGTAGTATAGTAGGCGTTAAGGTGCCTTAGCTAGCTAGCTAGCTAGTTAGCTAGCAAGCTGCCTATACACCGCAGCAGCTGCTAACACCCAACCCCACCGCACAACAACCCCTTTATATAATAAATAAATAAGAAGAGACACCCCAATAATATCTATAAGGAGGGAGAGGGGGCAGCATTTCTTCTTCTTATTTGCCGCCATCTTCTCTTGCGGATAAATATAAATATATATTTATTTCCACTATCTAGTCTGCTAGACTGGGGTGTATATACACATCCATGCATGCATGCATACATGCATGGATGCAAACATGCATGTATGCATGCATGTACTGTATGTGTATATATGTACGTATACACGTAGATGTATGCACGTCAAAAGAAATACTATGAGGAAAGCCCTAATGCATGCATACGCATGCATGCGCACGCATATGCATGCATATGCATGCACATGCATTTGTATGGGGCTTTACATGACTATATATATACATACGCATGTGCGCATGCACATTCATATGCATGGGACTTCCCATGCCTGCCTGTATACACCTATGCATGTATTCACGTATGCATCCACGCATGCACCTATGCATGCACCTATGCATGCATACACTTACGCATGCACCCACCTATATGCACACATACACCTATGCCTGCATGCATCTATGCCTGCATGCATGCACTTATACACCTACGCATACATACACCTATGCCTGTATACACCTATGCATGTATACGCCTACGCATGCTTCTGCATGCACCTATGCATGCAGATGCATGCATGCTCTTATGCATGCACCTGCAAGCATCTGCATGCACATTATTAATGCGCAAACAGCCCCGCTGCCTGTTTCCATGCTCCTTCTCCAATGCATGCATGCATGCACCTATGCATGCATGCATGCATGCACTAATGAGAGAAGAGCCCCGGTGTTTGTTTATAAGCCGCCTCTATAGATTCAAACTAAGTGTTGGATGTGTATGCCTGCATGCACCCTATGCATGCATGTGCATGCACCCTATGCATGCATGTGCATGCACCTATGGATGCATGCATGCATGCATGCATGTATGAATGAATGAATGAATTACTAGTGCATGCATGCAGTTAGTTAATGAGAGAAAAGCCCCGCTGCCTGTTTATATGCAGCCTCTATAGATTCACTAAGTGTTGGATGTGTATGTGTATAATAAGCTAATTGATGAATATTATTACCTGCATGCATAGCATTAGCACATTGTTGTATAATATCTCCTGCATGCATGCATAATAGATGACAACCTAATATGTCTCCTGTCTCCTTTTTATATATTAATTTAAATATTCCTTCTCCTTCTCCTTCTGCTAATGCCTTAGAATTTCCTCGTAAATAACTACGACTAACTCCTACTGTAAATCCTTCCTTACGCCCTAATTCTATCGCCTCTGGTTCCGTATAGCCTGCATATATATATACACACACCCCTAAACCCTAAACCCTAAACCCTAAACCCTAAACCCTAAACCCTAAACCCTAAACCCTTAACCCTTAATACAATATTATTATCATCTTATTATATTATATAATAGACAATAAATATACAATATATATAATATACTTCTTACTACTAATACTGCTACTACTACTACCACTACTACTACTGCTGCTGCTGCTGCTGCTGCTGCTGCTGCTGCTACTGCTGCTGTTGCTTGCTTACCAACGAATGCGATCTCTGGATTAGTAAAGCATGCAGCAGGAATAAGACGAGGATTAAATTGTCTCTTTTTTCCTGCAATTGTATCTACAGCAGCAACAGCTTGTGCAGATGCTGCATGCGCTAGCTGTAGTATACCATTAGCGTCTCCTATACAATATAGACCCTCTACTACTGCTCCTTCCTCTCCTTCTCCTCCATCAGCAGCAGCAGCACCACCAGCAGCAGCAGCAGCAGCAGAGGGGCCGTCAAATGCCTCACGGGGACTCCTGCTGCTAGGGGTACCACGTAAGACACGCATGCAACTATCTACAGGTATATATCCTCCTTTTGTTAGATTTACCCCTAATACCTCCACACCTAAACCCTGTATACACAAATAAATAAATAAATAAATAAATAAATAAATATAATTATATTATTATAGTAATAACAGCAGCAAGAACAGCAGCAGAAAGAGCAGCAAGAACAGCAGCAGCAGGAGGAGCAGCAGGAGTATATATATACCTGTGTAGCTGGTCTCCTTCCTGCAGCAACAAGACATGCATCAGGATAAATAGTCCCTTTGCTTTCTCCTGTCTTGGTGTCTCTTAGTTGTATCTCTAGCGGTGCAGGAGCAGCAGGAGCACCACCGCCAGCAGCAGCAGCAGCAGCAGCAGGAATAGTTGTCCCTTGTTGTTGCATGCGTTTAACAGAAGCAGCAATAGTATTAGTAATTAATTTAATAGGTTTATTTATATCCCTTTGCTGCAGTAATAATTTATTAGCAGCAGCAGCTAACTCGGGATCGATCCCAGGGAGGAGACGATCCCCAGCCTCAATAATAACACACTCCAACCCCACCGCTGAAAATATTTCTGCAAATTCTAGCCCTATAAATCCTGACCCTATTATAGCTATATAGGAGGGGACTACAGGTAGGCCTATTGCTGTATCGCTAGTCATTATCTGCTGCTGCTCCTGCTGCTCCTGCTGCTCCTGCTGCTCCTGCTGCTGTAGGGGAGGAGAAAGGGAAGGAGACGGTATATCTATACCCGGGGGGACAAACGGATAAGAACCAGGGGCTAAGATTATATTCTTTGCATATAATACTTTGGGGATACTTCCTGCTGCTGCTGCTCCTGCTGCTGCTGCTGCTCCTGCTGCTGCTGCTCCTGCTGCTGCTGGTGCTGGCTGGAGGGAGAGCTGACCAGGACCAATTACTTTTGCTCGTGCACTTATGACGGGAATCTTATGTGCTGCTAAAGAATTTAATAAACCATTACGTACCTGCATATACACCCTAAACCCTAAACCCTAAACCCTAAACCCTAAACCCTATAAACAATATAAACCTTATAAACCTTATAAACCCTATAAACCCTAAACCCTAGATCTGCGGATACACCCGGCATACACATAAGGAAGAAAAAGGCTAAAAAAGGAAGGGTTTATTTCCTTTATTCTCTTACACCACAAACCCTAAACCCTAAACCCTAAACCCTAAACCCTAAACCCTAAACCCTTACCTTAGCTGCAACACCAAGAGCATATTCTCCTGTTTTTCTTGGATCTAACTTAACAGCCCCATCAGCGAGGTGTATACCCATTTGCTGCAGTTGCTGCTGCTGCTGCAGCATGCGTGCTCTCCTTGCTGCAGCAAGAAGGGCCTTACTAGGTATACAACCCCTATTAACACATGTACCCCCTGGGTCCCCTCCGCTAATAGCAGCAACACTAAGCCCCAAAGCCTTTGCATGCAGACATGCTGCATGCCCTCCTACACCAAGCCCCACGACGGCTATGTCATAAGGGTCTTCCTTAGTCCCTGCAGCAGCAGCAGCAGGTGCTGCTGCTCCTGCTGCTGCTGCTGCTGCTGTTCTTGTTGTTGCTGCACGGGAGGAGGAAAAGGGGATAGACAGACTTCGACCTCTTAGACGACCTAAGGAAGAAAATGGACCTGCTGCTGCTCCTGCTGCTGCTGCTGCTGATGGTGCTGCTGCTGCTGCTGCTGCTGGATCAGCAGCAGCAGCAGAAGGGGACAGGAGAGGAGAAGACCCTAAAAAGGAGACACTTCTGTTCGTTGGTTGCACGAAGGCACAGGTGAGCTGTACAGACACTGCAGTTAAGCAGCAAAATATGTTAACTGCAGCAGCAGCTGCTGCTGCAGCAGCAACAGCAGCAGCAGCAAGCCTCCCCATTTCCTTTTAACTAAGAACAAACAAAACTACAAAAAAAAATAAATGGTTGTAACACCCCCCAGCTGCTGCTGCTGCTGCTGCTGCAGCAGCCTACTAGCAGCAGCAACAACAGCAGCAGCAGCAGCTGCTGCTGCTGTTGAGTAGAAGATGTGCTAGGAAGGAAGAACCTTCTTAGTCGTGCGGTGTACAGACACCACACAGACGTAAGGAGACACTGCAGCAGCAGCAGCTGTCTGCATGCAGCAGCAACAAGTGTCTCCTATTTTTGTCTCTTTTTCTTTTTCTTAAGGAAAAGAAACAGCAGCAGCAAATGCTTTGCTGCTGTGCTGCTGCTGCTAAGGAGACAATTGTCTCTTTATAGCAGCAAGGTGTTATCTGTCTAACCACCACACAACCCAGCTGGCAGCAGTACAGCTGCTGCTGCTGCTACTACTGTTGCTGCTCCTGCTGCTGCTCCTGCTGCTCCTGCTGCAGCAGCAGACACAGCAATATAAATAAATAAATAAAATAGTCTCTCCTTCTTTATACAAATTAACTCTTGCTGCTGCAGACAAAGACAACAACACCAAGACACGGGGCTGCTGGTTGTCTCGGCGAGCCGCTGCTGCTGCTGCTGCTACTGCTGCTGCTGGTACTACTGCTGCTGCTGCTGCTGCTGCTGCTGCATGCAGCCCCGATATACAGCAGCAGATCCTCTGCTGCAGTAACATATATACATTTATATTTATTTATTTACTCTTTCTTTTCTTTTATTGATAAGAAAATATTTCCTTAAGGAGGTAAAAACAAAGAAAAACAGCAATTCTTGCAGACTGCTGCAGCAGGAGGAGCTGCTGCTGCTGCTGCTGCTTCTCCTGCTGCTGCTGCTGCTGCTGCTGCTGCTCATATCTTCTTCCTCTTAAATATTTATAAAAAATAATATTATATTTTACCTTCAGCTGCAATAAATATATTGCTGCTGCAGGACCTGTAGCAGCAGCGGCAACAGCAGCAACAGCAGCAGCAGCAACAGCAGCGGCAGCAGCAACAGCGAAAGCAGAGGCAGCAGTGCCACAAGAACTGGCCATTGCAGCAGCTGCAGCAGCCACAGCAGCGATACAACCTTTACCAGTAGTAAGAATCGCAGCAGCGACAGCAGCAGCAGCAGCAGGCGCAGCAACAGCAGCAGCAGCAGCAGCAGCAGCAGCAGCTGTGGTGACAAGCAGAAGCATCACAACGAGCATCGTCAGTACAACAGACAAACACAGCAGCAGCAACAGCAACAGCAACAGCAAGTGAAGCTGCAGCAGCAGCAACAGCAGCAACAGCAGCAGCAGCAGCAGCAACAGCAGCAGCAGCAGCAGCAGCAGCAGCATTAGCTGCAGTGCCTGTATCTGTTCCCTTTATTGTAGCATTTCTTTTTATTTTTGTCTTCTTTTTCTTCTTTTTATTTATTTTTAGTTAATTATATAATTAATTATTATTTTTTTTTGTCTATTTAATAAATAATATATTTATTTAATTTATTTATTTATTTATTTATTTATTTATTTATTTATTTATTTATTTATTTATTTATTT